GGTTCCTGGTGGCCACATCTAAGTACTGCAAGCAGCACTAGGTCCTAGGTGACCATGACCCTTTGTAGAGGGTTACTGAAGAAAAGCCCCTAGCCAAGTCCACTGGAGCTACAAGTGTTTACAGAAGAAATTGTTCTGAAAAGCAAAATGAAATGCCCATCCTACTGTAGGTATTATTTCACTTGTACGAAGCCTTCCTAACTCTCTGATCTATGTTAGATGCACTTGCGTAGCTCTTGCAACCCATTTTCCTACCCGCCCTTCAAGCCCCCACCCTCTTGAGGTTTATGGGATAAAGCCCATAACCGGTTCCTCACTTTCCCATCTCTGATTCAGAGGAGGTGGCAGCGACTTGAGAACCAGTGCCCCCAAAACAGCCCCCCCCGCCCGGACTTCCTTCAACAAAGCCTATACTTCCTGTTCTCTTCTCAAGCATACGGTCAGCAGATCTTTATTGAAACCTCTGTGCCCTACCCCTGTCCTTGGCACCGGAGGCAGGAGACTGGATTAGGCCCTGTCCCTCTTCTGACAGTGATAAACCAGCTCCTGTTCTGAGCAAGCCCTTTGAAGACCAGAACACGGATTTGCCCAACAGCTGCCTGGCTTAAGGGTTAGGCTGTTGATATAAAAATACATGTCGGACGTCATTTACTATCACTCTCCCCACTTTTTTAAGCTCCCATCACACTGGTCTTTTTTTTTAATTTCTTCTTTGTGTGGCGTGTGTGTGTGTGTGTGTGTGTGTGTGTGTGTGTCTGTGTGTCTGTGTGTCTGTGTGTCTGTGTGTCTGTGTGTACTTTTGCAATATAAGCTCCCATCACACTGGTCTTTCTTTTTTTTAATTTCTTCTTTGTATGATGGGGGTGTGGGGTGGGTTTGTGTTTGTGTGTGTGTGTGTGTGTGTGTGTGTGTGTGTGTGTGTGTGAGTGAGTACTTTTTCAATATAGTGAGTCAAACCCAGAACCTCGGACATGCTAAACAAGCACTCTACAATCCATGGGCCTTCAGGAAGTTTCCAAACACATCAAACAGGCTTCAAAGCCTTTGTGTCTGTTGTTGCTTCTACTCAAAACCTTCCTCGCCCTACTTCCCCTACACCCACCCTACCAATAAAGTTAAGCCAGGTGATGGTGGCTCAGGCCTTTAATCCCAGCACTGGGAAAGCAGAGGCTGGGGGATCTCTGTGAGTTCAAGGCCAGCCTGGTCTACAAAGGGAGTTCCAAGACAGCCAAAGCTACACACAAAAAGGCTGGCTACCTGTCTCAAAAAACCAAAGGGTGAGGGGAGAAACTGCTACCTGAATCACCATTCAAAATTGGTCCAAGACAGCCAAAGCTACACACAAAAAGGCTGGCTACCTGTCTCAAAAAAACAAAGGGTGAGGGGAGAAACTGCTACCTGAATCACCATTCAAAATTGCAACCAGAATTGGACCATAAATATATGTTCCTCCCACTATAGTTTCAGAGGTCATTTGTCTCCAAGATGTACACCCTGAAGGTAATAAATACTTAGTAAAAGCTCGATGGTAAGAGGTAGTTCATTTGATCACTCAATTTTTTTGTTTTTGTTTGGTTTTTTTTGTTTGTTTGTTTGGTTGGTTTTGGTTTTTTGAGACAGGGTTTCTCTGTGGCTTTGCAGGCTATCCTGGAACTAGCTCTGTAGACCAGGCTGGTCTCAAACTCACAGAGATCCGCCTGCCTCTGCCTCCCTTCAAATATGTATCGAGTGGCAGCTGTATGCTGGGAAAGTGGCCAGAACAAAAGGCAAACCCCTGACCTAGATTCTATTAGACCTACGTTTGGAGCCAGATCTCACACTCAAATGGCAAAGTGAACACGTAGGTAATATGCCTGGGTGATTAGGTAGCAGTAATAGTGAGTGATAGAGACTACAGATTAAAAAGAAGACAGGACAATGGACCCAGTGTCAACAGATTGTCACCAAAAAATGGTAGAGGAGCTAGAGAAATGGCTCAGCAGTTAAGAGGGCATGTGCTTTCAGAGGATCCACATCAGGTCAGTCAGAACCACCTGAATCCAGCTCCAGGGAGATCCAATGCCCTCTTCTGCCTTCCATAGGCACACACACACATACAGGCACACACACATAAAAAATAAAACTCAAGAGAAATGGGGAGCTGGAGATACAGCTTAGAAGCACAGTGCTTGCCTCCCACACCAAGACCCTGGGTTCAATTCCCAGCACATTGGAAAACAAACAATAAGTTAAAAACGAAAACTAGCATTGTTCAACACGGGAAAACACGGATGGATGGAATAGAAGAGGGCTAGGAATGTAGCTTATGGGTATTTGCCTACCATGCACAAGGCTCTGGGTTTGATCCCTAGCAACACACAGAGACAAAGTAAAAGATTTTGTTAGGCATTGTGGGATACTCTTCTAACCTCAGCACTTAAGAAGCTAAAACAGGAGGATTACGCCAAGTTCAAGGCCAGCCTAGCTACTCAGTGAGTTCTAGGCCATGTGGTACAGAGTAAGACTTGAATCAAAAGTGTCTTAAATCAATGAGTGCATGATTGTAATCCTACCACTTTGGAGGCTGAAGCAGAAAGATTGTGAGTTTGAAGTCAGTCTGGGCCACATAGTGGCAGCCTGTCTCAAAAAGAAAAATAGTCTAAGCCAAGTAATAGTGGTGCATGCCTTTATTCCCAGCACTTGTGAGGCAGAGGCAGGTGGATCTCTGTGAGTTCAAGGCCAGCCTGGTCTACAAGAGTTAGTTCCAAAAAAAAAAAAAAAAAAAAAAAAAAAAAAAAAAAAAAAAAGCAAGGAAAGAAAGAAAGGCCATTAATAGTCACACATAATCCTATCACTTGAGAGGTAGAAGTAGGAGGATAAGGAGTTCAAGGCCAGCCTCAGCAACACAATTGTGGTGTGAAAGAAAATGGCCCCAAAGGAAATGGCACTATTAGATGTGGCCTTGTTGGAGTAGGTATGGCCTTGTTGGGGGAAGTGTGTCACTGTGAGGGTGGGCTTTGAGGTCTCCTATGCTCAAGCTATGCCCAGTGTCACCATTCACTTCCTGCTGCCTGTGGGTCAAGATGTAGAACTCTCAGCTCCTTCTCCAGCACCATGTCTGTCTGCATGCCACCATGGACTAAACCTCTGAAACTGTAAGTCACCCAATTAAATGTTTTCCTTTGTAAGAGTTGCTGTAGTCAGGGATAGGGGTGAGGGGAGGGAGAGGGAGAAGGGACTTAATGTGAAACAAGCTTGTTCCTTAACTGAAACTAATAAATAAATCATTAAAAAAAAAAAAAGAGTTGCTGTAGTCATGGTGTCTCTTCACAGCAATTGAAACCCTAACTAAGACAATAGTGAATTTGAGGCTAGCCTGGACTATATGAAACCAAATTTCAAAAAAAAAAAAAAAAAAAGAGTTGCTGTAGTCATGGTGTCTCTTCACAGCAATTGAAACCCTAACTAAGACAATAGTGAATTTGAGGCTAGCCTGGACTATATGAAACCAAATTTCAAAAAAAAAAAAAAAAAAAGAAATCACACACATACACTCAAAAACTGGTTAAGGGGAGACCTTGAATTCAGTCCCCTGCTACCACAAATGAAGCTTTCCATATGTGGGGAAATCACAATGATCAGACATCTGTAGTACAATGGTAAGCCTCTCTTGCCAGGCAAGTAATCATTATTATTGTTGTTATTTTATATTTATTTATGTGCACGTGTATCTCCATGTGTGTGCACGCCCAGATGTATGCAGATGCTCACAGAGACCATAAGAGCCTCAGATCCCCTGGAGCTAGAGTTACAGGAGGTTTTGAGCCATCTGATATTGGTGCTGAGAAAGCAGATCCTCCTACCCAAAAAGGAGATGGTATGTGCTCTTGACCACTGAGCCATCTCTCCAGCTCCAACATCAGATAATGCGTTGTTCTTATTGTTCTTCTGTTCTTTCACATGTAACTAAGTTTAAAAACATAAAACCATGTTACGGAGATGGCTTACTGTGTAAGGTGCTTGCTGCATAAGCTCAAAGATTTGGTGTGGTAGTGTGCTTGTAACCCAGTGCTAGGGAGGTAGAAGCAAGTAGATTCCTGGGGTTCATTAGCCAGCCAAACTAGCATACTTGGCAAGTTCCTAGCCAATGAGAGATCATGTTTCCAAAGAAACAAACAACTAGTCGGTGAGAGCAATGGTAGCTCACGCCTTTTAGTCCCAGCACTTGGGAGGCAGAGGCAAGCAATCTCTGTGAGTTTGAGGCCAGCCTGGTCTACAAAACAAGTTCCAGGACAGCCAGGGCTGCACAGAGGAAACCTGTCAGGAAAAACTAAAACAAATGCCACAGTGGATGGCTCCTTAAAAACAACACCCAAGACTGATTTCTGGTCTACAAATACACAATGCACACACACATACACAAGGCAGGAGATAAAATATGTAATTCAGTGGAACAACACATGCTTTGCTTGTGTGAGACTTGAATTTGATCCTCAGCATCACAAAAGTCAGTAAACTTACATAGGCTGCATGAGATACATCTATAGCCTGTATTAACCCCTCCAGCCTTGTTGATCAAATCTGCCTAAGCCACCTCCCGTTTAGTTAAGAAGACAAGCATGAAACAGCAAAGCAATGCATGTTTGACAAAGTTTCTCTCAAAAGTAATCAGATCATTTCTCTTAACCACCCCATGATTTCTGTGGTAGCATAACCAGCTTGACACAGAAAGCTTTGGTCTTGCTGGGCCTGGTGGAGCAAGCCTGTAATCCCAGCTATTTGGGAGGCTCAGGAAGTGGTATCAGTTATTCAAGGCCTACGATGACTACAAAAGGAATTCAAAGCCAGCCTTGACAATTTAGCCCATGTATTAAAATAAAAAGTAAAGAGCTGGAGAGAGGTATGGAGGTGCTTGCCACTTGCAGAAGACTGGAGTGTATTTCAGTACTCACGTAGGACAGCTCACAACCACCTATACCTACAGCTAAAGGGGATCCAAAGCCCTCTTCCGGCTTCTTCAGATAGCTACATGCATGTGGTATACAATCACACACACACACACACACACACACACACACACACACACAAGTTTTTTAAAATCTTAAAAAATAAAAGT